AAGGTCCTGTGCAGCTTGCTGTAGGTGACCCTGCTTCGGCAGGAGGGTTGGACTAGATGACCCCCAGAGGTCCCTTCCAACCCCTACTATTCTGTGATTCTGTGATTCTGTGAAACTAATTTATTTTTATTTGTCCCTGTGTAACTGAAAAAGGCTTTGTATTTTGAGGAGTATTTTTTTGAAAGTTTTTCTAGGTTGCTGAAAGGTGGAATTTAGTGAAGTCTTGTAACAGGTGTTTAAAATGCTGTTTTTACTTTAGATTTTGGTGATCTCATCCCTTGCCATTTTAAGAGGTCCCAATTGTTTTCTGTGGAGGCATTGATAGTTGGTAGCAGAATGGTGTGTAGAGTCCTGGCTTGTCCTCTGTTGAGTCCCTTAGAAGAAGTAATCTAGTCTTGTGAGCTTGAATTATGTGGTGAATTGTCTTTTAAGTTTAGGTCATGTCTTGCTTCCAAGAAGAAAAATGTGCAGTTTTTTGAATATCCAGAATGAGAAGGTAGAGAGAATGGGACCAAAGCAATAATATGGATAATACAAACATAAAGCTTCTGAATATGCAGGAAAAGTGTAATGGAAATAACAAAAGGAGATTGACTGAACTAAGTATCTTAAATCAGTGTTTAAAGAGTAAGATTACTTACTGGTCAAGATTAAAACTGCTACTCCAGATGAAGTCCCAGTGCCACTAATCGGTGGTAATGTATCTGTTCTGTTTATAGACGAACGTGGAGCCAGTCAGTGTGTGTTAGCTCCTTTGCGGTGACTGGTTTATAAACATACTTGAGAGCTGTTTGATTTGCCTGCTGGGAATGTAATACATGCTTGAATAATATGTAATCAGTCTCAGCGTAGTAGTTTTAAGAAAGTTGTTAATAATGATTTTAGAACTCAATTAACTTATTTTTACTTCTTTTCAGGATGGCTTGAATTCTTTGGTCCTTGATCTGGATTATCCAGCACTGAGGAAGAACAAGAACATTGATAATTTCTTAAATAGATGTAAGTTGCAAGTGACCCTGAAACAATGACATTGTTCTGATCTCAGTCATAGGAAACTGAGAGGTCAGAAAGGTATTGCTGACTTTCATTTTACAAATTTTTGTGACTCTGAGCTTCTATATTCAGAAGGCTTGGGAGGACCATTTTTTACAGAGAAGTTTCGTTTTGGGTAGTCATTGTGTTTCTGAAATTAAGTTGGAAAATACCAGCTGTACATTGTAATTTTTCCAACTACAATTGGAAAAATCCTTTTATGTTATTTTTTATCTTAAGTATGTGCTGCAACATAATTTGCGAAGCATATCCCAGTTACTGTTCTTCAGGAATTAATTACTCAAAATGTCAACATTGTATATACAGTCTTTTTTAATCTGACAGAGAAGCCTTCTGTTGATTTTTAAGACTAAATTATTGTACCCTAAAATCCTTTGGTGCATTTTTCAACCTTTGTATAAATGTTTGTGATTCTCCCCAAATTAATTGTAGACAGGATCTTGGAGTTTATTGAGCATATGAAAATATAAGACTGTTACATTAGAGTAGCTGTATTTTGTCTTTTTAAAGTGTTTTCTGTCCATGTATATAAACATTTTTTTTTTCCTTGTAAAAACAGTGGATTGTTTGCTTTAAAATGTAAGTTGCAGTGAGTAAGCCTTCTTGGAACAGCTGTGCTTTGTAGTGAGCTTGTTTTGAGGTGTATTTTTTAAGAAAACCCTTTTCTATTGCATATGTTGAGGTTACTGCCGATGCAGTCTTATCAGCCACTCCTGATTTGATTCTTTACTGGCGAGAGCTGTGTGTCTGCCCTCTGTTGCTCTGGGACTCCATTGAATGTCCGCTCACGCTCCTCAGTTAAATGGTGGCTGGTGTAGTCATTTGTGGTGAGTTCTTATGTCTGGAATTCAGTGCTTCTCCGTGAGGTTTAGCAGAGCCCCATAGCTGGACAGTTGCCAGTAAAGTCTCGTTTTGAGAAGTCACTGAAAACGGAATAAATAAGAAGCAGCAGATTAGGAAGGAGAAGCGTACTTTGGGATTTTTCTCAGTTTGATTTCAAAGGAATTCAAGCAGATATTTATGAAAGAAAACGCCAGGAGCAGCATTTTAAGTAATTTTGTTGTCTGAGACTGTGTGTTGTAAGTGTGATGTGAGGGGAAAAAGTCCTAGCTACAGCAAGTATGAAAATGACGTAAGTGACAATATCAGTAACTTCTATGAGTCGTTCAGATTTGCCTTTACATTACAATACTGGTTTTGGAGTAGGACAAAATTAGAAAACTTTTTCTAATCGGAAGGCCAGTTTCTTCTGGTATCTGGCTATTAAAAATAGCAACTATGGGCAAACAACCTTGGGAACAGGTTTGGGGCTTTTTGTTTTGTTTTGGGTTTTTTTTGTTGGTTGTTTTTTTTTTTTTTTTTCTGCAGCCCCTGAACATTCTTGCTGTCTGTCTTCCCTTTTCTGAAGGGTGTTGCTCCTTCTCATACTCCAGGTTCTCTCCCATTGTTGCAGTAAATATTATAAACATCTGATGTGACCTGCACACTACCAGCAGTGGCAGAAACCCAGAAATATACTTTGGTTCACAATTTTGTTACTGACTGCCTTTTTTTTTTTTTTAATCAGCTGACAGTTTACAGTTGAAATAGCCAGATACTAGTTACAGAAAATTCTGAGATGTTACAAAAAAATTCACAGTAGTTAAGAGTTTTCAGGGGTGCGTTTCATCCTTACCTGTTCAGCTTTAAAAAAAGCATGTTAAGAGCTGGCAGTTTTGGCTCACCCGTTGTGAGGCTGTGCATCACGTAAGAATCACCCAGGTAACTTCTCTCCTGTTTCTGTGCTGCCTGGGAGAGAATGAAAAATAGCGCTGCGTCTTCTGTGATTTGCACTTCTAAAAAAATTATTTCTGAAATGAGAATTTTTTAAACATTTAAAGCTGGAAATATTTTGGCATTGCAACTGAAAGAATCGGTCCTGCCACTGTGATTCGTTTCAAATTCCTTTCTGACCCAGGTGTCTGTGTGGTTTGTTATGAACCCAATTGGGGAACTGAGCAGAATTAATCCAAAGAGTGGTGTGCTTCATTTGTTTGTTTCTTTTTTGTTAAAACTAGTCAGACAAAAGAAAAGCAAAGACCAGTTTCTGATTTTCATTTCGCATCACTGATATTTGTGCCAGCACAGAGGGAGCTGCTCAGATACACTAAAAAACAGGAGGACAGTTGTGTTTTTATTGGCATTGCCATTTTATATGATTTAAAGCTGCTGAAC